TAATAATAATAATAATAATAATAATAATAATAATAATAATAATAATAATAATAATAATAATAATAATAATAATAATAATAATAATAATAATAATAATAATAATAATAATAATAATAATAATAATAATAATAATAATAATAATAATAATAATAATAATAATAATAATAATAATAATAATAATAATAATAATAATAATAATAATAATAATAATAATAATAATAATAATAATAATAATAATAATAATAATAATAATAATAATAATAATAATAATAATAATAATAATAATAATAATAATAATAATAATAATAATTAATAATATTAATAATAATAATAATAATAATCCTGAATTCCTGGGTGTTGGAAATACTTTCTTACTCTATAAGAAAGGTGATAACAATGAGCCCTGCAACTATAGACCAATTACTTGCCTCTCAGTAATATACAAACTCTTTACGTCCCTAATTCAAAACAGAATCTATGAACTCTTTACGTCCCTAATTCAAAACAGAATCTATGAACACTGTGAAAAAAATAACTTTATAGCAATTGAACAGAAAGGTTGTATCAGAAGGAACTTAGGCTGTAAGGAACAGCTTACTATTGATTCTGTCGTTACCAAACAAGCTCATAATAAAAAGAGAAATCTAAACATGGCATATATCGACTATATCAAAGCCTTCGATTCCGTTCCACATAACTGGTTAAAAGAAATTCTAAAGTTGTACAAAATCCACCCAACAATATGTTCACTATTGTCAAGTTTTATGAAGACGTGGAGAGTAAAACTGCATTGTAATGGAGGGGTCTTAGGAGAAATTAAAATTTCTCAAGGTATTTTCCAGGGAGATTCATTGAGCCCATTATGGTTTGTATTGGCACTAAACCCCCTCTCAACTCTACTTAATCGCACTGGATTGGGCTATGAGATTGATACTTGGGAAAAGTATCAACTAAATCACCTCATGTTCATGGACGATATAAAATTATATGCCAAATCCAAAAAACAACTAACCGAAATGATACGCACTACAGAGAACTATAGTAGTGATATTGGTATGTCATTTGGACTGGACAAATGTGCCTATATAACAATTTGCAGAGGAAAAATAGTAGAAGAGGAAAATAACATCCAAGGAATAAATCCTATACAACCAAACGAGACATACACATATCTAGGAATAGCTCAAAACAAGTCAATTGACCACACATCTCTAAAGAAGGAATTTAAAGAAAAATACCGCAGCAGAATTACAAAATTGCTTAATACCAAACTGAATGCAAGAAATCTATTTACAGCTGTTAATATGTGGGCGATACCTGTGCTAACATACTCCTTTGGCTTATTGAAGTATTCCCAAGTAGATCTAGATGAACTAAATAGACTAACCAGAAGACATCTTACCAAATTTAGGTCCCACCACCCTAAATCAGCCATCCAACGCTTATACCTTTCTAGATCCAAAGAAGGAAGAGGGCTTATAAATATTGAAAACTTGTGCCGAAAACAAGAACTAGACATAAGGCAATATTTTTTAAACTCTGAAAGCCGATTAATAGCCAAGATAAAAGAGGTTGATGACAATTATACACCATTGAAATTAGGTAATGCAGAACACTCGATACAAATTTCTGATGAACAGCAGCAAATAGAAATCTGGAAAAACAAGGCACTACATGGAACATATCCTGGAACATTAGACAATACTGCAACTGACAAAGAAAAATCCCTTATCTGGCTGAAGAAAGGTGAACTACATCCAGAAACAGAAGGGTTCATAATAGCCATTCAAGACCGGGTCATACGCACCAGGAATAACGAAAGGCATATTATGAAGTTAAACACTCAAGACAACTGTAGAAAGTGCAATAAGGTCGGGGAAACTATAGAACATATAACTGCTGGGTGTAGTGCTTTGTCAAATACTGCTTTCTTAGGCCGACATAACCAAGTGGCTAAAATAATATATATTGAACTAGCTAAAAACTATGAGTTGCTCGAAAATCCCGAGCCATACTACAAATTCAATTCTAATCAGGTATTAGAAAATCAGGATGCAGTACTGTGCTGGGACAACCCAATATTAACGGACACAACAGTTGATTATAACAGACCAGACATTCTTCTTATTAACAAAAAACTTAAAACTGCCTGGATTATAGATACAGCATGCCCTCTAGATAACAATATAACTAAAACTGCAACAGAAAAACGAAATAAATATGAAAATTTGGCTATAGAAATTAAACATATTTGGGAACTAAAAGATATAAAAATCATACCAATAGTGGTGTCTGTTACAGGAGTCGTGTCTAAGGTTTTAGAAAATCAAATTAAATTATTGGAAATAAACAACAACACTATCAAAAGACTACAGAAATCTACTATATTACAAACTTGCCATATTGTACGTAAATTCCTCAACATCTAAACAAAAAGTTATTACAAAACAACACCAAAATAAACAAGTGAGATAGGGTGAATTCCCTCCTCACTCCACAT